AGGCAGGACGGGGGCAAGGGGTGAGCCAGCTACAGATGTGATGGCTGGGGACTATGAGAGGAGATCTGAGGACAGGCCTCTGCCTCCCCTCCTGATCCCCAACCCAGGCAGGCAGACATGCAAGGGCCTCAACTGAGCACCCCCTGTGAGCCAGCCCCATGCGGGATCCCAGGGGCCCAGGGAGCCTTTTCTGAGCTGTGTGGCCTCTGCCAACTCAGCTATTCTGAGCTTTAGTTTCCAGGTTTGCAAAAGGGATAACAAGAGTTTTTTTCTTTTCTTTTCTTTTCTTTTCTTTTCTTTTTTTGGAACTAAAAAAAGGATTATGTTTATTGAGGGCAAAGGGATGCAAACAATGTAAAAAACAAAGCTCATCTGGCATTTTAATTAACTTTTTCTTCTCTGCTTGACAAATGGGAGTTGGATTTTATTTGTATATATTCTAAGGATCCTGATCTGCTCATGAAATCCTTATCCAGGGAGAAGCTGTGGGGCAGATGTCTGAAGCAGTCCTTTGAGAGAACACTTTTCAGGGCAGAGTAATTGCTCGGTTCGGCCTACTTCTTGCCCATCTGCTTCATGTGTACTACAAAGCAGTTGTTGCCTGCGATGGTGAGGCCTGCAGTTAGGGAAAAGAAGCTCTGGAAGCCACTTTGCCATCTCGGCACTGGTCCAGGTCCTTCATTATTTTGTCTAAGGCCAGAGGGTCTTTTTGATTTTCCAAAAATCCTGGGAACTCCTTCTCCATGAGCACTCTGAGGTCCTCCTTTGTTAAGTAGCCTTTATCCCCAGCAAATTTGTGAAATGTGGACATCATGGTTTCCATGGCATGCTCCATCTGAGATGGCATTTTGGTGAGTTCTACTGAAATCTGGACCAAGAGGCATGGTGGACGCCAGCTGGCTGGGGCGTGGGGCGGCGAACAGAGCCACAAGAGTTTTTTTCACAGGGCACCTGCAGGGATATCCCAGAGATGAGGTTTTGTTTTTTTATTTTTTTTAAGACACAGTCTCATTTTGTCACTGTTGGTAGAGTGCCCTGGCATCCCAGGTCACAGCAACCTCAAACTTTTGGGCTCAAGCAATTCCCTTGCCTCAGCCTTGGGACAAGAGGTACCCGCCACAATGCCTGACTATGTTTAGAGACAGCATCTTACACTTGCTCAGGGTGGTCTCAAACTTGGGAGGTCAAGCAATCCACCCACCTTGGTCTCTCAGAGAACTAGAATTACATGTGTGAGCCACTGGCCCAGCCCTAGACATGAGGTTCTTAAGTGCAAAGCAGAAGGTCTCATCAAGGGCCACTGCCCAAGATAACAAAGAAAGTGGGAGGGGGTAGGCAGTGGCAGAGAGCTGGGGATGGAGGGTGAGGCTAGAAGGGAACCATCAAAGCAGAGAAGCCACAGGGCCCACCTGGGGGTGGGAGGCAGCTCAGGGGGAAGGCCTGGAACCAGCCTCTGTGTTCTTCCCGCCCTTTCCCAGCACGGCCATCCTGATTTACCTGAGCTGTAAATACCAGACAGCAGACCACTGGTACCCACGTGACCTGCAGGCCCGTGCCCGTGTCCATGAGTATCTGGGCTGGCATGCTGACCACATCCGTGGCACGTTTGGTGTCCCCCTGTGGACCCGGGTGAGGAGAGCCATCTGGAGAGTGCTTGAGCATCAGGGAGCTGGGAGGAGGCAGGGCCATAGACTGAGCCCACCCTCTGCTCCCATCAGGTGCTGGCACCGCTCATTGGGACACAGGTGCCTGAGGAGAAGATGGAACGCAACAGGATTGCCATGGACCAGGCGCTCCAACAGCTGGAGGACAAGTTCTTGGGGGACAAGGCCTTCCTTGCTGGCCAGCAAGTGACACTGGCTGACCTCATGGCACTGGAGGAGCTGATACAGGTGTGAGCTCAGCTGGAGGAGAGGTAGCTGTGGGCAGTGTCCCTCCTAGGGCCACCCCATGCATTGGGACAGAAGCACTGAGGCCTGGAGAAAGCCAGGGTTGTCCTGAGTCAGAGCAAGTCTCTGGCTGACTGACCCCGACCTCTGCCTCCTCTGCCTGGCTGTGGGGTCTCTTCCTGGCTGTTCTGGGCCCTGAGGCTGACCACACTGCCTGGGCCTCAAGTGAGGACTGGGAAAGGACCATGTCCCTGATACCTTTGCTTGTGCCTCGGCATTGTGGCCTTAGTATCTCTACTACTTTCTCATTCTTGTCCCTGCAGCCCGTGGCAGTCGGCCATGACCTGTTTGAGGGACGGCAGCGACTGGCAGCGTGGCGTGGCCGAGTGGAGGCTTTCCTGGGTGCTGAGCTGTGCCAAGAGGCTCACGGCCCCATCTTGAGCGTCCTAGAACTGGTGGCCAAGAAAACATTCCCTGTACCCCAACCAGAGGCTTATCCAAATATGCTGAGGCGCATTGCCAGGATCCCCTGAGGTGTTTGTAACCGGGGCCAGGAGATTAGTCAGAAGAGATTCACTCTGTTTCTTATTGCTGCCCTTTCTTCCTTTTCCATCTTGCCCCTGTCCCTTGTCCACAATATCAAAAGAGCTCCTAAAAATAAGGGCATGAAGAAAAAGAAACTGATTAAAAATTGGCAAACTTCATCAGTGTTTTGATTGTAGTAAAGATTATGAACATTTGAATAATTAACCAAGAGTTGCTGTTTTTATTACGTTTTCATAGTATATGTGTGTTTGCCTGTAAGTCCCATCATGGTGTTGCAAAGTAATGTCACAGATAACAAGTCAACACAACATCATTGCCAGGGCAACAAAATATTAAGGAATTATCCAGCAAACTAGTACAGCATATGCTGCACTGACAAAAAGTGCTACATAGCTCATTGCTGAATAGCTCTGTGGTCTCCTTCCAAGTCCTGTCCTCGGAAAGCTGTGCACTGAGGCTCGCCCCTAGTCCATGCTTGAAAGCTATTTTGGAACTTGTTTTCTGGAATGGCCCTGAGAGCTACTGTCCTGTTACCCTCGATGTCTTAAATGTCATCAAAATGTCTTCCTCTCAATATTTCCTTCACCTTCCGGTAAAGAAAAGTCACTGGTGGCTCCATTAGCTGAGTGTGGGGTGTTTTCCAATGCAATCATTTGTTCACTGGCTATAAACTCCCTCTTGGGCAATGCCGGGTGAGCTGGTACATTGTCGTGCCAAGATTTTCAGTTAAGATGTTCCTGTTTCCCTATTGATGTTTGTTTGGTCAGTTGATGATTTTAGCATACAACGTGATGAGATTCTGCAACATTTTAGTCAGTCATGCTTGTTACTGGCCACCCTGAATGCTCATCAGTGATGCTTTCTCTCCCTTCAGAAAATACTTAATCCAGTTGTCCACTGCCATTTTCTTCATAAAGTAGGACTAACGTGTCTCTTCTGCTTTGGTTTTTTTTTGAGACAGAGTCTCTGTCACCCTGAGTAGAGTGTCATGGTGTCACCATGGCTCACAGCAACCTCAAACTCTTGAGCTCAAGTGATCCTCTTGCTTCAGCTTCCCCAAGTAGCTGGGACTACTGGTGCCCACCATGATGCCTGGCCAAGTTTTCTGTTTTTGTAGAGATGGAGTCAGGCTGGTCTTGAAGTCTTAAGCTCAAGTGATCCACCTTCCTTGGCCTCCTACCTAGAGTGTTAAGATTATAGGCTAACGTGATGCTCCCAGCCCGTTTCCACTCTTGCTAAATTTAACAAGAAATTTAACCCTTGTTCATTGCTCTAATTCAAGTTCCAACATTCTTGTGATGACACAAAAAAATACACAACAGGTTGGGCACGGTGGCTCACGCCTGTAATCTTAGCACTCTGGGAGGCCGAGGCCGGTGGATTGCCTGAGCTCACGAGTTCGAGACCAGCCTGAGCAAAAGTGAGACCCCCATCCCTACTGAAAATAGAGAAACTGAGGCAAGAGGATCACTTGAGCCCAAGAATTCGAGGTGCCTGTGAGCTATGATGCCACAGCACTCTACACAGGGTGACAGCTTGTGACTCTGTCTCAAAAACACACACACACACAACTATGAACACCAGAGCAAGACTCTGCCACACGTGGACATGAACACATCTGTGAGATGCTGATATACCAAGGTTATAAAACTTTACCAAGTTGTGTGTGCAGTGCTGCCAATGTAAGTGCTCAGTGGCAAGTTCATGGTCTCTATTGTTAAAACCCTATTAGTGGGCTCGGCGCCTATGGCTCAACCGGCTAAGGCGCCAGCCACGTACACCTAAGGTGGCGGGTTCGAATCCCCAGCCCGGACCCGCCAAACAACAATGACGGCTGCAACCAAAAAATAGCCGGGCGTTGTGCCGGGCGCCTGTGGTCCCAGCTACTTGGGAGGCGGAGGCAGGAGACTCGCTTGAGCCCAGGAGTTGGAGGTTGCTGTGAGCTGTAATGCCACGGCACTCTACCCAGGGGGACGGCTTGAGGCTCTGTCTCAAAAAAAAAAAAAAAAAAAAAAAAAACCCTATTAGTGATGTTTCACAGGATGTAGTCTAGGAAACTCAAAAGACTTACTTTCTTTTTTTAAAATCATTTCCTCCTTTTATTGAAATCTTTCATTCATTATATTGACCATACTTTTCCTAATGCTTCCTAAAAAACCGTCCTGGCCCTCTACATCAATTTCATTATAGGCCTATGACTACCCCAACCAGGCACAGGTCACAGTGTGGTAAGCTCTTAACTCCCTCAGTTCTTGTGGCAGGGTAGAACCCAGGAGTGCCAAAGCCTTAGGGCAAAAATCTAGTCTTGAGCAGCCTCACCTGATTATCCCATGCAAATGTGATCTCTTCCCAAGGTCTTGCCATACACACAAAACTAATAAAGTGTCACACTTTGTTCGGCCTCTTATCAGGTTTAAATAATTTCAATACCCAGCACCTCCCCACACACATCTTTTCTAAACTCTTATCAGATGACAGCTGTCCTTTGAACTGTCTTCTAATTTCTCATGTCCTTAAACTGTACAGCCCTTTATTCCACACCCATGGACCATTGCTGTGACTAGATCTCTCTGGAAGGGGTGAGACAGTCTTCAAGCCTGGCAGGATTTCCCTGCAGTTATGCAGGAGCAGGTCACCTGCCTTGAGAATACAATGTGCCAAGAGCTGCCACTTTCTGCGCTCTTTGATATGCATCCTTAGTCATGTCTTCATGTAATAAATATTTAACCCTGGAAACTAGGAGCCACAAATGTCTGTATGTTGGGGGCTCTGCCCTTGACCTTATAATGCAGTTTTCACATTAAGTCCCACATAGTTCAAGAGCCACACCAAGCCCAGCATTTGTAACTGTTAAGTGATGTCTGGAACAAATCAGATACCGTGGGTCCCAACTGCTCAGACACATCATGCTCCTCAGCAAAGCATCCCTAAAGTCTGCCCTCCCCAGTTTTCTGATATGAATCAATAATTGAGAATGGGGGAGCCAGACTACTGCAAAATGGCATCCACCCAACAGCCATCTCTGCAGCACTTGGGTTTCAATTTGTAGAAGGGCGATCCTCAGAGATCAGCACTGCCAGGCCCCAGAAGAAAAAAATCTTCACCCCCATTGGGCTTTCCTGCCCTAGCAGGCTAAACTGTGGCTCAAACAGATTTTCCCGCCTAACAGGCTATATAAGCAGATAGATTGTAAGGGAGCTGCCTTTGGACCCAGGTTTATTTGCATAAACCTGTCTTGGTCTTTGCTGTACTTTCTATGTCTGTTCTGTCTTTACCCTTCTGTGCTCATCCTCTCCTTATGAAGAAGATGGTCAAAGAACAGCTTTTCTCTGTAAAATAGCATTCCTGGGCTAGATATCCTTGCAAGCCTCTGTGCTCCTGGAGTTAAAACCTCCAAGAAGTTTCAATAAAAAGTTTCTCCCAAATGCTGATGAGATTCCTTTTCTGAATCTAGTAGAAGCTTCTTCCAAAAATGTGAAGGAACAGAGACTTAAGCAAGGCTGGGTGAGGTGGCTTATGCCTGTAATCCCAGCACTCTGGGAGGACTAGGAGGGCGGATTGCCTAAGCTCACAGGTTTGAGACCAGTGTGAGCAAGAGTGAGACTCTGTCTCTAAAAAAGCTGGCTGTTGTGGCGGACACCTTTAGTCCCAGCTACTTGGGAGGCTGAGGCTAGAGAATCACTTGAACCTAAGAGTTTGAGGTTGCTTTGAGCTATGATACCACAGCACTCTACCAAGAGTGATAAAGTGAGACTCTGTCTCAAAAGAAAAGAGAGACATAAGCAATATCTATTATTTTTTGTACCACCAAGAGACTCCACTGATCCCAGATGGCAGAGCTGTACACCACTGTATTTTCTACACCAGCACCAACTGTAAGTGGTAAATTTGTCTCAAATATAAAGAATTTTACTTCCAGCAAACTCAGTGGATTTTTTACAACACCTATGAAGTATGCAGAGCAGGTATTACTATCATTGACTTTATCAATTGAATATATCATTGACTTTATCAATGAATAGAGTCAAAGTTCAGAGACACACAGTTAGATCACACAAAGTTTAGATTACACAGTGAGTAGCAGAGCCCTGACTAATAAATCTCCTACATTCTCAATACTTCTATTTTATACAGTATTAATAAGAGATTTCTTAAAATAAAAAGTTTGCCCTAGTCCTATAATCAAAGCACTTGTCTGGCTAAGAATATTCATTTTGTCTATTAAATGCTGGCAAACTGGGAAGTAAAGAGAAGAGCTATTTGAAAGTCCCCTATCACTTCTTAGCTAACTTTTCCTTTCTGTTCTTGGCACGAGTATCTGTACAGTTTCTTCCATTCCCCTTGTATGCTTTCAGGGACTATATTACATACGACTCCCTGTAAGAGAGAATGCAAGTTTGAAATATCATCCCTCCCAGGGCTGCCAGAGACACCTGAGATTCAGATAGGACACTCTGTAGAGACCGTCAGGATTAGTTCCATGGCTTAACAAAGTCCTACAAAGTAAGTGGCTGAATATAACAGAAGTGTATTCCCTCACTGTTCTGGAAGCCAGAAGTCCCACATCACAGAATCAGCAGGCCTAGGTTCCCTCAGAACAGGGAAGAACCTGTTCTGGCCTCTCTTCTGGGGTCTGGCAGATGCTGGCAAACCTTGACATTCCTCCAATTTCCACCTCTGCAGGCACATAGCAGTGACTGTGTTCCCTCTGCATTCTCTCTTTCTTCTAAGGATGCCAGGTATTAGATTTAGAGCCCACCCTGATTTACGATGTTCACCTAAACTTAGCTACATCACTTACATTGGCGAAGACTCTATTTCTAAATAAGATCACATTCGGAGGTTCCAAGTGGATGTAGATCTTGAGGAGACCCTGTCTGAACCAGTGGAGTCTCAGCAGAGCAGGGTCTCATATTGGCACAGGACTAGTGAATCTTTTTTAAAAACCGTGGAGGAGACAGTGCGTCATCCTGTTTGGTTGGGTCACACGCAGGTAAACACTGAGTCTCAGTGCTCCATTACCTTTGCCCCTCTAAACACCATGCTGTCACTCAGGAACTGAAAATGGGTGGCAGAACAACTCCAACGTCTGCTCTCACAAGTTTTGCTGAAGCCACAAAGCTGTTGACACAGGTGACAATGTCCTCCCACTGAGGCACTAGACATGCCCTCTCAGGAATTATTCGTAGGAAGCCAAAATCATCCACTGTTCATCTCTCCAGAATCTGGCTAGTTCCTGCCGAGGGGGCGGCCCTAGCCTTCCTCCGGTGCCCTGGGGCCGGACGTGTGGCTGGGACAGCAAGGAAAGGGGTCGGGCGTTCTCCGCAGTCACGATGCAAAGCAGTGGCACAAATTGCTCCAGTCTCTCCACTCTGGAGTCTTTACTCTGTTCGCCCCCCACCAGCCTGTCTGAAGGAAGAACGCCGGAACCGGGCCCTTTTTTTTTTCTTTGAGACTGAGTCTCACGCTGTTGCTGTGTAGAGTGCTATGGCATCAAAGCTGACAGCAACCCCAGACTCTTGGGTTTCAGCGATCTCCTTACCTCGGCCTCCTGAGTAGCTGGGACTACAGGGGCCCACCACAATGCCCAGCTAATTTTTCTATTTTTAGTAAAGACAGGATTTTGCTCTTCCTTGGGGTGGTCTCAAACTCCTGAGTTCAAGCAATCCTCCTGCCTTGGCCTCCCAGAGTGCTAGAATTAGAGACACTGCACCTTAAAAGATTTAACAAGCACTCCCATCTTCCAGAACAGTGGCATAATGATAACAAAACAATAGAATTATACATTATCATACAAACCTCCATGTGTATCCATGGGACGTAACTCACCCTAGTTATTTTAAAAGAAATAATTTAATAAAAAGTATTGGTAACCAGACATTGGAGAATTCAATAGGCAGAAAGAAGCCAAATTATCACAAAGATAGATGCTGCAAGAAGCCCCAGGCTTGGGGGACAAAGAGAGGACATTGGAGTTATAAAAACTTAGGTGCTGGCAGAAGGGCCCATGGAACTGAGACCTCCAAGGAGAGTGTTGCTTAGGCTACTGGAGTCACCTTTGAGAGCAGGGCAGGGTGTCCCCGCTTGCCACCATGTCTTCATAGGAGGCCATGTGTCTGAGGAGGTTGCAATGTGACTGTAGATGTCACTGTTGACAGATAAATCTGTCATAGGAGGCCATGTGTCTGAGGAGGTTGCAATGTGACTGTAGATGTCACTGTTGACAGATAAATCTGTCCTTAGCAACACTCTCTGATCTACCTGCCCACCTGTCTTGGGGCACTGGTGGCCGCCCTGTGCCATTCCCAACCTGGAGAGCCCTAAGTAGCAACCACACTGCAGTTGCTCTAGGGGTCCCCATTGTGTGGTTTTCCTCTACAGTCCCATCTGGCTGTCCCTGCTTTTCAGAGGCACCTTATGCTTTGGGGAACACCCCAGCTTGCTTTCTTGGGCCTTTCCCATTGTCCCTCTCCCCTGGGCATTAGGGTAGGGTGATGGCAGCCTGTGCCTTCTTGATCCATGCGACCTGCTTTCTAGTTAATCATAACTGGGTGGTTTTTCAAGTATCAGAAGTAAACACACAATTAATTTAAACAGTCAGTTACTGTGCCATGTAGGTGGCAGGTAAGTCCTGAAGAGGGATCCCAGCTCAGTCAAATCATACTGTGAGTGAGCATAGGGGGCCTCAGGGTCCCTGGTCACTGGCAGGAAGAGGGGCAAAGTGACCTTGAATTTCACCTGCTGCTCTTACCCGAGAGAAGCACCAAGGCTAACGGTGTTGTGGGCACTGAAGATGGGGTGGGTTCAGGGCTCTTGCAGCAGTGAGGGGGTACTGAGAGGTGAGGCGGAGTTGAAGCAAGGTGAGGACTGGCTTTGAGCGATGTGAATAAATTGTGTGGCTGTGTGTGTGTGTTTGTGTCTATGTGTGTGGCGTGAGTGAACTGTGGGCAAATGGGAGCATGTGAGTGTGCACACGTGTGGCTTGGAGCACAGCTGAAAAGACTCAGAAAGCCTAAAAACACCCTGCAGTGTGTCCTCCCAGCTGGTACCTTCCCTGCTTGTACCTCTGCTTGAAGGGCTGAGGAAGCTGCGGCCTGCACTCCACCGGTGGTGGCTCAGCAGGCTCAAGCTGTCCCGGGACTCAGACTTTCTGCCCAGTCCCCATGCCATTCACATTCTCACCAGGAAGAATTATATTGCCTGGCCTGCAGTGAGCCTGGTAGCTGGGTCTTCCCCAAGGAGGAGTTGCCAAGGGGTCAAGCCCTGTACTGAGCCTCCCCACCTGTACTGTGCAATCTGCCCACCTGGAAGGTGAACCCCTAGAGAAGGTATCTGTCCTCTGAGAGATAAGGGTGACCTGGTGCCCATGCAGAACCAGGCTCTGACTGGGTTCTGGGGCTCATGGTGGGGGAAGGCACAGGGATGAAGGAAGAAAGCTGATCACCCCCGGCTTGGCAACCTTTCCCAGCCACTGTAGCCCCTTCCTCCTTCCAACCTGTACAGCTCCAAGGCAGGGGCTGGATCCAGAGACCTCTTAGGAGTAAAGCTGAGGGGCTGGGACCTGGCAGGAGACTGAGTCACCCGGAGCTGCCAGGGGAGGAAAAGACATAGGTTTCTGGAAAACTTGAAGCCAGAGGGCAAGGCCCAGGCTTGAGGTTGGCCCCTCCCCCAAAGTCTCTCCAACATGTCCTTTCTGATTTCTAGGAGCTGGGCAGGCCCAGGGTCAGACTCCACTTTGAATCTCAGCTCCCTGCATCCTCACTCTGTGCCCTCAGGCAGGTGGCAGGTGCCCCTGGTTTCTCCTCTGTAAAGTGGGACGGTGCGACCATTTCCAGGACTCACCTGAGACTGGAGAATCAGCACCAACTGCTGGGAAGCCAAGGGGGAATCAAGGACAGGAATTCTCTATAAAACAAATTTATAGCTTTCATATGCAAGCTATAACCCAATTATAGCCCAAGAATATGGGGAAAGGGAGGGCAGGGGAGGGAGGAGGATGGGTGGAGGGAGAGTAATTGGTGGGACCGCATCTACAGCGCATCTTACTAGGGTACATGTGAAACTTACTAAATGTAGAATATAAATGTCTTAACACAATACCTAAGAAAATGCCATGAAGGCTATGTTACCCAGTTTGATGAAAATATTTCAAATTGTATATAAAACCAGCACATTGTACCCCATGGTTGATTTAATGTACACAGCTATGATTAAAAAAAAAAAAAGGAACAGGAATTCTGGGCTGAGGAGGGTGGCTCATGCCTGTAATCCCAGCACTCTGGGAGGCCAAGGCAGGTGGATTGCTCAAGCTGCTCTGTCTCCTGGCCCAATCTGTCTTGCCCCAGTTCTTGAGGAAGCCGACAGATGCTGCACATATGCAGCAGCTGCTGGGAAGACTGAGGCCAACCCTGCAGCACCTGGACTAGGAGCTCTCTTCAGCAGACTTGATGCAGGTAAGCCTCTCCTGCCTGCCTGGCCCCTAGGGGGACTCTGAGTGCAGGGCTGAGCCACCACCCCAGCTGGCTCATCTCCCTAGCTCACTGCTGTTAGCTGCAACCTCTTCCAAGACTAGCCCCAGCTGGCAGAGTCAATGCAACTCAGTACAAAATAATAACACCTACTCAGTCCGTTGCATAGAACTGAGGAACATGGGGAAGCCAACATCAGCAAGCTCTCCTCATGGAGAGGCAAGGGTGAAGCCCTTCCCAGTGATTTTCACTGGCTTTCATTGTAATCTCAGGCATGAGAAAATACAGCACAGCGGAAACCTTCAAAGAGAGAGTCAAGGTTAAAAATCAAGGAGTTTATCTTTAGCTGCAATTGAACTCCTAACACATTCTGCTTTCTGCACCTCTGTCTTGCCTTTTTCTTATCACTGCTAAACATTACTTAGGACTGAGACAGTGTGGTGTGCTCTGTCTAGGGAGTATTGTTTTTAGTACTCAGGGTCAGAAGGGATGCTTGGATTTTGTCCAGAACACTCTGTCCCTAGTGCATAGGACTTTTGACCCTATGCTCCATCCTGTAGTCCTGTGTGGAGGCTGCCCTGGATGCTGAGCTTGTCCAGGAGGATCACAAGCTCATCCTCTAACCTCGGGACCCCAGGAAAGCTCAGCTGGCCCAGAAGCTGATGCAGTGGCTGTAGGAGTAGCTCCCAAGAACGAATTCAGCATGCTCCCCTGCACTCTGTTGCCTGCAGTAAACACACTATGTTTCCCACTGGCCTCCAGCTTCACTCCATCCCCAGGAAGTAGGAACTGTCCTGTTTCTGGTTCCCTGGCCTATTAGGACAGGGAATCTCCCAACATCACAAGCACAGAGTGAGTAGCACTCCTGCCTCCCCATGGGTTCTAGTTGCCTTCCTCAGCTACCAGCTGCATAATCAGGCCACTTCAGTCCCAGCTGAGGCAGCAAGTTTCTGGGCCTCTCTGCATGGACTAGGTTGACTGGTTGCCACCACCTCCCCAGTGGTGTTGTCCTCAATGGCCCTACAGCTACCCAACCCCCTGTGTCTCTTCCTCCTGATCCTTCTCTAGCCACAATTTGGG